AAGTATGAAGATGGGAATTAGTCAGGAAAAAGGAAAGGTTTCGTGTTGCCACCCAAGAGCGTCTAGTTGACGCTCAAACCCCTTAACCGTAAATTCCTTGACAACATGTTCTGGAAGCAGGTTCCAGCGCTCGATGACTCGACGTGATAACCGTGTCTCCGCTCTGACTCGATCGGACCGCGGTTTGTCCAGCTTCATACAGTGCCCGCGAAGACCAGATAATCTAGCAGGACTAAATAGCATGGACAAATCAGGGCCAACCTTCCCAGTCAAAATACGGTAGGTTAGGATTAGGTCCCCTCTAATCCTTCGATAGTGCATTGACTGCATCCCCAAACTAAGTAGGCGTTCGGGGTACGTTTGCCCTCGTAATCCCTTGACCAACCTAGTACCGACACGCAACACCCTTTCTAGTGCCATTTTGTCCCGGACAAGGCATGGTGGACAGGCCTGGACGCAATATTCTAGGTGGGGTCGCACAAACGCTGAGAAGAGCTTCACAAACACATCAGCGGTTAGGGTCCCAAAAGAACGACGGATAAACCACAACATTCGGAACCCTTTACTAGCCGCCTTCTTCCAGTTGTCTCCAGAGTGTAATGTGGAACAGTGGACGACACCTAGATCAACCTGATGAGTCACGTGAGGAAGTACAGTCCCATCGAGCACATAACTTGTGGAGGAATCAGACGCTCCGATACGCAGCACTGAACACTTTGCCCGGTTTATAGGCAGCAACCACAAGACAGACCATTCCCAGAGTCTATCCAGAGCCCGTTGAAGAGCCATAGGACCTCCAGGGATATCAACAATATTCCAGAGCTTTAGGTCATCTGCAAATAAAAGCGATTGTACCTCAAGCTCCTCCGGCAAGTCATTCACGTAGACTGAGAACAGCAGCGGACCTAGGACAGAGTCTTGCGGAACGCCGCTAAGTACAGCCTGTCGAAACGAAAGACTGCTTCCCACACGAATACACTGTTCCCGTCCATCCAGAAAAGCTGACACCAACTGGAGAGCACGACCAGCTATTACATACGACGTCAACTTCAGTGAGAGTCGCGAATGGGGGACAGTGTCAAAGGCCTTGGCGAAGTCAATGAACACCACATCCACCGCATGTCCACTGTCTACGGCTTCAGCCCAGCACTCTCGAGCTACCAGCAAGTTCGTCTGACACGAAAATCCTTTGCGAAAACCATGTTGCTCGAGGCTAAGCAGGTTAAACCTGTTTAAATGGTTCTCCACTGTCTCGTGCTAATTTTTCAAGTAGTCAAGCTGACAGGCCTGTAATTAGCCGGTACGTCTTTGTCACTTGCAAATCGGGCAGACAACAGCCTCCTTTCATTCGGTAGGCAAGATACAGCTGTTGAGTGACTTCCGAAACACACAAGTCAGAGGCCCACGGAGTTCCACTGCCAATTCGTGAAACAATTTTGGATGAACAGAACCTGGCCCGGAAGCCTTAGTTGGGTTTACCTCTCCTAGCAACCGGAGAACTTGGGACTCCGTTACAGGAACTTCATCCAGACAACAGTCCTCAGAGACTCTGGAAGCTAACTCTTTGCATGGCGTATTTGTTTCGCGGACAAAGACGCTTGAGTACTGCTTACCAAGCACGCATGCCTTGTCATAGTCGCTATAGGCATGGGTCCCATCTCCTCGAAGCAATGGTGGAATGGGCGAGTTTGCACCACAGCGTCGTTTAACGTAAGCAAAGAATCTCTTGGGATTTTTCGAAGCAGTATTAGCTAAGCCCTTTTCATACTGAAGCCGGGCCAACCTAAGATGTAGCTTGCACTCATTTCGAACCAACCGATACTTGTCAAACGTGCTGTTCGACGGAGCTGTTCGGTAAGCTCGCCAGCATCTAGACCGCTTCTTTAGCAGGCCCTTCCCCGCGGAATCTATCCACGGAGGCTGCGCTCTCGATTCCCTTCTTTTTACCAGTGGGACGTGAGGTGCAGAAATGTCGACGAGGTGAGCCTTAAGCTTTTCCCAGGCTATGTGAACAGTGTCGGTCTCAGATATCACACAAGGCGATGACCTAGCTCTATCCCGCATCGCTTGGAAGTCCGCGGCCCAAATGTTCGGATACCAACTGGTAGTAGCTTGGCAAGGCCTGATAAGGGTACACTGGAAAGACAAGCAAACGTGATCGCTAGCGCCAAGAGGCGAGTCGTATTTAATGTCATTTACAAAGTCAAGTGACTTAGCAAAAACAAGATCTAAAATGGACGGCTGCTGATTGCTCATGTACCTAGTGGGGAGGTCCACGAACTGGTGTAGTGGTACCTGCAGCGTTAAGTCCAGCAGTTCTGTACCGAACGATCCCAGCGCAGAACTGCAAGATAGATCATCCCAACAGACCTCTGGGAGGTTGAAGTCTCCCAGCACCAGACACTTGTTCGCAGAGTGAGTGCGTATAAACTCAATGATTCCATTTGAGGTGCTCATAGGGCTTCTATACACTAACACGACCGTAACCTGAACCGAGGAAGCGCAAATCAATACTGCGAGTACCTCAACAGATTTGTCGAGAGACTGAAAAACGCTGGTCCTCAGTACGTCGATGTGATAACTCACATAAAGAGCTACACCACCCCCTTGACGGCCAATGGAGCGGTCAGCGCGGAACAATGCGTAGCCAGGCAGATATACTTCGCCATCTGTGATTTCCTCAGACAGCCACGTTTCAGTGAAAGCAAGTATATCTGGACGAGATTTGTCTACGAGCAGACCCACCTCGCACATCTTGTTCCTCAGGCTACGCACGTTACTAAGTACTACTTGGAGGGCTTCGGCACGACCAGCCCTGGGTCGTGCGCCAGTAGTATAGGTTCTGGCAGGGCGGAAAATGACCGCCGGCTGACCACCTGAAAACCCACCAATCGGAGACCTTGCTCGCCAGCTGCGCGCCGGGCTTTTAGGTCTCTGATGGCTTCCTTTAATTTTAACCTATCCGCTAACGGAAGGTCTGGTTGCACACTAACCGTGGTACCTTTGAGCTTGAAGGCAAATCTCAGTAAGGCCCTGCGCTCTTCTGGGGTGGAGAGGACCACCCTAAGCAGACGGGGTCGAGGATTTGGTTGACCAACCGGAACTTTCCCCAATCTGATGAGCTTCCTGACAGTAACGCCAGGAAACCTGGTGGTAAAAGCCTGGTCACGCAAACTTTAAGCCAACCAAGATCATCAAGCATGCGCTCGGTGGGAAGAGCGGCAGTGGATTCCGTGACGTTTCTGAAAATCACACTGCTGTCTGTGTAAGAATCGCCTCGACGAAGTGTATTTACACCACATGCTCTACCATTCACGCCACACGGTTGTTTGACAGGAATCGGTGGAACCGAAGGCGACGGTATCTCATGTCTCACTGAGGGAAATGCAACACCAGGTGGTGTTTCCAACACAGGCGTCTGTTTCTTGAGCACTTTATCACCTTCCGGTTTAGGGGCAGGGGGTTTGCGAGTTTTCCTTGTCCTCTTACGCTTATTCTTCAATGGCCCAGGAGCCCGTAACCCGTTATCTACCATCCTTGTTGAATATGCTTGTCTTACGACAACTTATCTCGCCAGGTATATACATTTGATTAACGACGCTATCCCTTGCATAATCTCGCGTTTATTATGTACGGTCATCCGCCTCAAAATGCCAGCGGACTCCTGACTGTGCTTGTAGAGCTGAAGCGACAGTCACTTTGACTGTCAAAAAGCTGCACACAGCTCACAGTGAAATGGCGACATATTTCTTTATTTTTGAATGAAGGAACAATGGAGATGCGTAAATTTTACTCCTTGGATATTGTTTTTCTGTTTTTCACATACATCTACGTTACTCAGAATTTTTCCATAGTAGAACTTTCTTTTAGTTCAAATAGTTACCACTGGTTACCAGAACCATGGCGTATTTAAACCCAGCTTCTTAGAAAAATCCGACTAGTTGGACACATTCTGCACGAAAATTTGTCAACTTTCATGCAACCAATCGTCTGGCATCATTATCTTGAAAGCAAACGATTTTCACTGTCATTGCTGGGTAGCATTTATCTTCGACTTTGATAGGTCCAGGGAATTGTCTACCTTATTGTTGATGCTCATAAATATGGTCATGTGCTCTGTTCTCCGAATCGGATCTGCTAATCCTCCCACCCGATATGTTGTCGGCGGTGATGTACTCCCTGTTGTCACTCAGCAGGTTGATTTAGAGGTCGTATGCTCATCAGCACTTCATTGTGGCGACAATTGGAATGAAGCTGCTTGTCGGCGGTTTCGTATGATATGGTTTATCCACCGCTCTTTTGGAATCCTAACGGCCAATTTGTTTGTGAAGCTATTCTCGGCATTCGTCCGACCCCACCTCGAATTTCGTATCCAGGCTTGTCCACCATGTCAGCCGAGACAAAATGGACTTGGAAAGGATGTTACGAGTGGGCACTCCCTTAGTGCAGGGTCTTTTGGGACAGAAGTATCCTGAACGCTTGCTCAGTTTGGGGATGTACTCAATGCACTACCGAAGGATAAAAGGGGACCTGATTCCCACTTATCGTATTTTGGCTGGTAAGATCGACCCGGACTTGTCAGGGCTATTTAGTCCCACTACGTTACCTAATCTCCGCGGTCACCCACTGAAACAGCATAAACCACGGTCTGACAGGATTAGGACGGAAACTCGTCTATCGCGCCGAGTTATAGATCGCTGGAATTCGCTTCCAGATCACGTGGTTAGGAAACCTACGGTTAAGGGTATTGCGCGCTAGCTCGATGCTCTTGGGTGGCAACAGCAAAGCTTTTCCCTAACTGACTCACCATCATCTTTCAGTTCTTTTTTTAACGACAACTATCTTGGTATTCTACTTTCTTAGCTCTTCACATTCTCTTTTTCCTCCTGAATTTACTTGTTTCTCCTTCTCACTTCACGTAACCGGCCCAGCAGAGGCTGCTAGGGCAGGATATGTGGGCATTAATTGGTTGCACAGGGTATGATGCGGTCTTTGTTTTAGGTCCATCAGCATTTCATAGTCCGCCAACTCCTGGCTCACCGATCTGCTGAAGAAGGATCACTCACGGGATAATCCTATCGTTCCAGTCGCGCTTGTACTTGGTTGCTTGGTCTGCAACTAGCGTTTTTCGCTTAATTATGGATATTAAGGATGTTCTTTCATTTGCTGTAAGTCCCCTCCGCAATTTTACCTTATCTACTATCAGTCTCCTAGCCCTAAGGCTATTCGTTCACTTAGACCTCCTCCTCCGCCATCGTTGTCAGAGGTGACTAATGACGAAGTGGAATCCAAACGCCCGAGACAGTTATCATTGGATACTCATTCTGTGACAGATAAAGAGGGTTAGTGGATGATGTAACGCGGTTTTTGATAAATATGTGGCCCATATACTTGATTATCCCTTTTGTTTTATGGTACGTTTGTTATACATTTACAATCCGGATTGTCTAATCCTGCGAAATTGTTTTGGTTCCATAGTGTTGTAGAGAGGAGAAGGGAAAAGACCAGTGTCAGTTCCTTCACCACCCATTCACTGGCTGGACGATGCGCCTTGTTGCTAACCTGTGTACACCGAATGAACAGCTCAGTTGCAGCAAAAGCAATGGACTCCAGACGTTATCAGCATGTAGTTGTCCAACCGCTGCTTGAAACATTTCTATCAAGGCACTGAGAACATTTTGCTTGGGATTGTTTCATCGACACACGGTTTCCAACTGTGACCCCTTGTCGAGTTATCTACGTTGAGTTGGAAGAACTTTTGCACCACCGTCCTTGTTCCCATTATGAAAAAAACGATTTGCAAAGAACTTGGCCCTAATCTCGAGTATGGACCTGATGCTTAATTTTAAGTTTATGCCTCGTAGATGGTTGGATGCAACAAGTTCAGACAGATCGGTGGGTTTGATTCCGCTGAGGCGCTACATAATGTTTCTGTCAGGTCACCTCGTACTCTGCGCAGCTGCATAGAGAATAATCCTAGTGTTCTTAGGCGTTATTCATATGATTTTCCGCGCCGGCCTTTGATCATCCTAGTCGTCCGTTTTTAGACTTTTATGCATGTCACATCTTTCCCGATATATATATATATATATATATATATATATATTGGATAGCCAATTACAATACATTTGGCTGCGTGCCACAACACATAAGAGGAAGATAATAGTTTGAAAGGGAAAACAACCGTTATATTTTGAAGAGTCTCACAGCTAGTGCGCCATTGCATACGGTCCTTGGCCTTATCTTCTAGCTTTTGCAACCAAATGTTCTCGGGGTTCTTGGGTCCCCACACCTGGCTTCGGGAACGCCCAACAATAATCAGCCTCAACGTTTGCTTCTTAACGCATTAGTTCCAAGGTTTACATTACTCTTCTTTTCGTCGCTTCCACCCCACGCCTGTGCTCGCAAATAAGATTCGTCATGGTAGCCGCTGGCTAGGCATGCGGTGCACATGTCCAATCCAGCGAAGCCTCTGCAGTGGAATGATGCTATCAATCGGTCGGCGGAGTTCGTTCGGTCTTAAGACTTGACGACAGACTTTCTCATTACTGATGTGATGCTGCCATCGGACACCAGCAATGCTTCGCAGATAGTGGTGATCAAAAACTGATAGCCGCTGAACATCGCTTTTACGAACGGACCGAGTCTCGCAGCCATACAGCAGCATTGCTCGTACCATAGCATTGTAGACTCGTTTTTTGAGAACGAGGCTGTCACGACGAAGGTTTGCGAAAACGACTTTAGCCTTGGAGACACGCAGGGAGATCCCATCTGTCAGACCGCCAATACTAGGACAACTCCCAAGATAAATGAATTTGTCAACCGCTTCCAGCGGATGCCTCGAAAGGGTGAAAGTAGGACATGCACTCGGTCAGTCCTGTAACAGGACCTTACTTTTGGATGGGGCAAAGATGAACCCATGCCTGTATACTGTACTCTAGTTGAGGTCGTACCACCGCTTTATATAATGGAAGGAAAGCCTCTGGCTTGGTGTTACATAACGTTCTGTCGAAGCGGAACAATTCTTTCCGCGCCTTGTTGGCGGCCTCTTGACGCTGTACTGAGGTTTTGAAGGTATTTCTTATGATGATACCCAAACCTTGAACCTCCTCAACGAACCGAAGTCTCAAAGTACCGGCAGTAGTTTGCATTGTAACTCCATCGTTGCCTTCAGACAACTGGCATTAAGTGGCAGATCCAATGAGGTTGACCTCGCTACAGTGCAAAAGATCTTTTGACGCGGTCGTTGATGAAGATTTTGTAAAGATCAGGACCAAAGACGGAGCCGTGTGGGACCCCACTGGTCATGAGAACAGGCCCAGAGAGAACCTCATTGATCGTCACCCTCATGGTGTGACCATCCAGGGAATCAGCGATCCAGGAGAGAACATTGCCAACGATGCCAATTTTCCGGAGTTTGATAAGGGGGCATTTATGTGCAACTTTATCAAATGGTTTGCTGAAATCAACTAAAACCACATCAAGGCAATTTCCGGAATCCACTGACTGCGCACTTCTCGCGGTCAACAAGTAGGTTAGTGATACAAGAGCTTGCCTTCCGGAAACCGTGCCAAGCAGGAGTAAAGATGTTCAGAGCCTCAAGATGAAGCTGAAGGGCTCTTTTAAAAATCCTTTCCATTGTCTTGCAAATGATCGACGTCAGGCAGTTCGGTCTGTACCTCCCAGGATCTTCACGGTTTCCCCCTCAGTGGATTGGCTTCACAATGCCTATTTTCCAATCAAGCGGAAGGCGGTCCGCCTCCAGGGAGTATGGAAACAGTTGGCAGATTGATTCGCCGACATACTCAACCACTGTCTGCAGGAACAAGGGTTGTAATTCATCAGGGCCTGGCGAAGAATTTGGATCCAATTCTAGAGGTATTCTCCGCACTATATTCGAGGTAATTTCTATGTGCTCCAGGAGAGGTCCTCTTTTGATGTTACTGAGATTTCTGCACACAGACTTCCAATGTGCACGGCCCCAATGGTGACACTTACTAATTTGATTGACACATTTTTCAGGAACTGCCGGCCTGTGGGTTTACAATCTGGAAGTCGCGGGTTCGAACCAGCCCGACCCTTGCAGTATTCTTAGCCACGCGCAGTTAGTGCTTGTGGCCTAACAGCGAAGTGTCTTGGCGTGTCGGCGTACTGCTGATGCCATCTGGCCATTTACCACTGCATTTTATGGCATTTGCTCTGTGTAAGTCGGCCATGGTCAAGATAGGTCAGATCAGTTTCCAAGGACGAAATAGATCTCGCCCAAGTACCGGCAAGCAAACTAGCCCCTAAGGTATTTCGACATTTCTGTTGCTTCCCTTGCCTCTACGAAAGAAGTGAAGCAAGAACAAAAACAATCGCTGTACTTGCTTGGATCACAGACTTCGAGGTTTGACAAGTGTTACTAAATAATAACTCCAAGAAAAAATGCAACCAACCATGATATAAGCCTTTTCTGAAAGCATCTACCGTGGTACTTTCGACTAAGGCAGAAAGTTGTCTTTTCCAAACATGAACTACACGATTCGCAAAGAAATTATCCCTAATTTGTACCCTGAACTTCAGATGTTTAAGCTTAAGCTATGCCCCCACACGTGGTTAGAAGCAGCTGGTTTAAACAAGTTGGAAGGCCTGACGCCACTGAGATTTTTCATAATTTTGAACATTTCTCTTAGGTCGTTGCTCGAGCGACGCCGCTCCATAGCAAGAAAACCCAGGCTCCTAAAGCATCCATAATATGACTCTCTACGTTGACCCTCAACCACCCCAGTCGCCAATTTTTGGACATTTTCTACGCAAAAATCATCCTTTTGGAGACACGGTGCCGAAGCTTGCATACAGTATTTTAAATAAGGTCATACCAACGCCTTATATAGAAGCATGTATATTTCCGGTTCAGTTTTGAATAACGCTCACTTGAGATGGAGTGTCTCCTGTCGCGCATTGTTGGCTGCCTGTTGACACTGTGCTGATGATTTAATAATTCGTCCCAGTGATACCTAGATCACGTGCTTCATCTATGCACTGCAAACTTAACGCACCGCCGGTAGTTCGCACTGTAACCCCTTCGATGCCTTAAGAGTATAATAGTAGATGTTTTTTTAACATTGAGGCAAGTTTTACAAAGACGACCACCTCGCCACAGTGCAATTGTCCTTCAATAGTGCGTTACGATTGTTCCTGTTTTTGAGTTTTGATAGTCCGCAAAGATGTAGCAAAGGTTTTTAAGTAGAGAAGCCAATTCATTCATATATTTTAGGAACAATAGCGGGTCTAGAACAGAACCCTGGGGAACAGCACTGTGGGCGATGCCTGTGTTTGAGCTGGTGTCTCCAATTATAACACAGAAGGTTCTCTTGAAAAGAACTTTTGCTATCTAATTCAATAATTAGGAAGGTATCCCAAACCATGGCAGCTTTTCCATTAAGAACCGATGGTTAACAGTCAATAGCTTTGTTAGTCTTGTTATCGGTCTGAAGTTTCATCGCTGCGACAGCTGGTTATCTCATCCGTAAACCACAGAATATTGGTGAAGCCATGTTGCTCCGCTCTTATCAAATTATAATCAATTAAGCGCCCACAAATTTGGCTCCTGATAAGCATTTCCAAGCATTTTGGCCGAACACTGGTGAGGCTGATAGTCCTATAGTTGACTTCCTTGACTCCCTCCAATCTTGTGGCAGCCTACCTTCCAAAAGTGACATGTTAAACTGGTCCACGAAAGTGATCTGGAGTGTCTTGGCAAACGGCTTGACGATAGCAAGATGTACATTAACAGCTCCAGCCGGTTTCTAAGGGCCTAAGCTTGCCAAGACATCAAGGACTTGTGATGCAGTTAATGGATCATTTGGCATTATACTCTCAACTTGACGATGATACTGTGACGGGATAGAATACTTGTTTACCACCCGATATACGTCTTGAAAGACGCGTAGCAACAACTGTGCCTTCGCATTCTCCGTAGCATGACTACCGTTATTAAGTTACCAACCCCTTCTCTCAAGAAACCCTTCAATTGAACTTAACTGTAATACATCTTCGGTCTTGCGTTTACATTCTGAGCTAACCTAACTTCATTGTAGTATTTCGCATGTCTCTGCAATTTGACTGCTATATTCCGGCATTCTTATGATGTAGTCATCACTTAAATCCCGGGACTCCTGAGACCTGTAGAAATCGTTGTGCCTCTATCGCCCGATCAATTCTCCGACGCCACCAGCGGGCTTACTGATATGCCTGCTGCAGCGCAATTGGGCAAGGTCGTCCAGAATCTGAACAAACCCATTTTTGACAGCGCCCCATCGCTGTTCTAATGTGGCTGGCGCTTGCTCATGAACCCAGA